AGCTTCCATGGACTGGGTTTTTAAAAACATTGTAGGGGGACCTGCCCAACTGCATGTTAGTGCTAATGCTTACTAGTACAACAGTGCATTTGTACAAGTTCAAACAGGAACAAAATGTTCATTAAAAAGGTCCAGTTCCATCAATGAAAACAATCACAGGAACAAAAAAACACCCAACAATCCAGAAAACACAGGTAGAATAGATTTCACATCAGTATACCTCTGCCCCAAATTATGGAATTGCTTCCTCAAGAACAACAATTAGTACCCACTGTCTTGCCCTTTAAAAAGGGTATGAAGATCTATCTTTTCAATGTAGTCTTTCATACTATGTAGTGTTTTAATGTTTTTTACCATGTTAATGTTCTTGTTTTATGGTTTTAAATGGCTGTACACTTAATAGCTTTTTAGGAGATCGGGCAGTATATAATGTTAATAAATAAACAGAATATCCAGACTGAAAAAAAGATGCAGCCTGAACTCCTGACAAGGGAAATTGGATTGACTTCCTTGTGTCTTTTTATGAGAAATAGGGCTTGTTTTGTGCCTGAGAAAGCCCTCGACATTTTGAAACAATGATCCCTGGTACATTTCTAACCCTATCTTTCCTCCAAGGCACTTTTGGCAGTATACCCTATTTATTCTCCTCGCATTTGGATAGGATGCTCACCCCACCATTCCAAAAGGCTGAAACACCACTTTTGAGACTTCGTTATTAGCAGTAAGAGATTTACTGCTCACAGTATCCTGCCATGTTTGGGAGGGTTTTTTTTGGCTTCAGCCCTTTTTGGACTAGGCTCAACTTTAAATGGCCCTTGCCCCCCATCAGCTGCTACCAGATCCTTTTTGAGCTGGAGATACCAAGCAGCAAAGCTGAAATCTACCAAACAGGTGCTCAACATCTATCAGCTAGTATTCCCCTCAAGAACTCCTGGAACAGCTCTGCATACCTGTTTTAAAAGCAAATGCCCCCTGCTGCAGCAGTGAAATGGAATTACATCCAAAGTTAAAATGCAGTCATTTAATTAAAAACCAAACTTTTCAAGTTTTAGCTTAAAAAAATACCACAGATCCTTTTTTCCATTTTGTGAGGATTTTGTGTCCCAAATCAGCTTGCTGGGCTCGCTTGCTTGATGGTGCTTTGGAGTATGGCAAAAATCACTCCGTTATGGCAGAAATGATGCTGTAAATGGATCAGGCTCAATTAATTGTTTTAGGTTGCTTTGATACTCTGGTTTTATTTTCTGCCTGTTTTAGCTCCCTTTGTAAACTATGGGGGTGGGGGGGACGACAGACAGAAGCAAGAATGTGGAATAATGCATGGTGCTGCACTCATCTCATGCCCTAGTAATGACTGATTTTTTAATAGGGCCTTAATCCTCTAACCTGGCAAAGTAGGCTGCTTTGTTCCAGATGTCTGGAGGCTGATATTGACTGCCTGGTGATCCGGGAGATGCCTTCCTGTGGAACCAGGGCATTCTAATGCTAGAACTTGTCAGGGACCTTAGAAGTTATCTAATCCAGCTCCCTGCTCAATGCAGAGGCTGCAGTGCAAGACACAATTACAGCATTTCTAGGAGAAGGCTGCCCTATTTCTGATTAAATGCCTCCAAGCCTAGGAGAGCTTACCACTTCCTGAAGTATCCTGTTCCCTGGATGAACAGCTACTACGATTAGAAAGTTGCTCCTAATGGCCTTCTCCCTCTGTGCACATGGAAAGGCATGCCCATCATTAATAACTACTCAGTATTCTAGGCCTACCTGCTACCATTCAGAACTCATGCTCAGCTAATCTTGGGACTGGTTCTAAAAGGTATAATATAAATGCTGAATGATTTTTAAAAATTGGCAAATCTAGTCCTTTTTACTAGTGGTATATGCTGACCAGAAGATTCAACCTGGCTCCTGATTTGGTTCTTGGGAAAATACTTTGACTCTGCTCAGTCTGATTCACAGGCTATTCACTTGGATACCAAATCCAAATTGAGATTTGGAAATCTGTGGCTTTGGACCTTCCATTGACTTGTCACAGAAAACAAAAAAAGTGGATAAAAGCATTTTTCTTTATGTCATAAGTGGCTAAAATACGCAGACATAGTAGCCCCTCAGGTGGGGAATTTGCTTATAAAGTGTCAGAAATATAGGTGAAGTGGTTTGTGCACCATGCAGCTTTGGATTTTTAAGGTAGCTGCTAATTGCTTAACAAATTTTTTTTTTTGGCAGAATTGGTTGAAATCTGCAGAGATAGCTGTCATTTCCTAAGGCATCAATTCTGCTAAGAGTCAGATGAGTAAGTGCATGGGTTCTTGTGCAAGAGCAGACTTTACATTTTGAGGTTTCCAGGAAATGACCTGCTTATTCCTGTGTTCTTTGCAAAGCAAAGTGGTAGCCCTAGGTAAGAAAAATGCAAATTTTCAGAGGGATAGGTGCAGTGCTTTGTATGGATAGGGAATCCTTAAATTTGGAGGAGGGTGAGTGATTTGCTTCCCCTTTCCTTGACTCATAATGTTTGGGCAATTTGTATAATGGAACATTCATTCATTCATTTAGAGTTTTTGTATGCCGTCCCATTGCTTATAGCCTCAATGTGACATACCACAGTGATGCCTCCAGGCAAGAAAACTGAAGGGGCCAGTGAGTTATCATGACTAAAACTAGTCTGAAATGTTTTCATAGTGAAGTCTGTTAGCTCTGGAGCTATGTCCATTTCACAGTCCTATCCCTGCCTGTCTTCAAACCACAGTGATGGGAGAGCACCTGGTAAAATATGCCCTATGATTGGACCCCTCAGACCCCTCACCCTTTCTCTCCTTGCCTGTCCCCAGAAAATGGAAGAAAAGGTGCAGTTTTGGAGACAGGTTGCATGCCTTTCCAAAGAAGACTCACTGATAAAGCCCCATGCAGGGTCTAGCTTCAGCTCCGATCATTTTGCCGAGACGTCCACCTCAGGAAACATCAGAACAATCTAAAGCAGCCCCGTTTGGCTCGTATTCCAACCAAATTCAGTGCACAGTCCTGCTTTTTACATACTGCTTCTTCTGCACCACTCCACAAAAGGATAGGCAACCTGATCATCAACCACAGAGATGTTCCTGACATAAAAATGAAAGCCTTTTCTCGGGATGGCACTCCTTCCCATCCTGAGCCTTCCCATTCTTTGATAGATGGCCTTACCTTACCCTCCTGTTTACCAGAGCTCCTAACACAGCTGCCAGCCCTTGTTTATTTATTTTAGTTGCATTGTTTTGCTCCTTCTTCTTTCTCTTTCCCTTAAGATCCCTGCTAAACTCCCAGATGAGATATTATACTTGGCCACACTCTCATGGGGTGGAAGGTGCCAGCTCAGTACATCCGAGGTTGTGCACCTGAGTGGAAGCAAAGCAGAGCCTGGCGAGAGGCCGAGAGAGATGAGTGGCAACCTTGCAAGCCATGAAAACTTCCTCTTCTGCAGCTGGGAGGCAGAGTCCCTCAAGTGAGCGGCTCTATTTCCACTGGCTATCAGAGCCATAATCAATGTTTAATTAGATGCGATTTAATTACCCGCTTGCTTGGCCGTCATGAGCACCGACAAGCCAGCTCAGGTTCCCAGCATCAGGAGGACAGGCAAGACGTCAAAGGCGGGATGCGAGATCAAACTCTCGCTCTTCCCACCCACAACACGAAGGTTTCACCCTCAACCCTGTAATTGATGCAGAATGCAGCTAATGTCTTACTGAACTCTGTAATTGGGGCAGAATACAGGCAATGCCCAGAACCCCACATTTCTTTGCCCGCCTGAGGATCACAGTTGTCCAGAGGGGAAAGGGGCTCATAATCCTTGCCAACAGCACAGGGAAGAACAGCATGTTCTGCTGCGGGCAAATGCCCTCTGCACATGCTCAGGGGCATAGGAATAGGTGTCATAAGTACAGGTTAGATGACAAGTGGCTGGAGAGCAGCACTTGTGAAAGGGACATCTGGGTGCTGGTTGACCGTAGGCTAAACATGAGTCAGCAGTGTGATGCGGTGGTCAAGAGGGCAAACACCACCCTTGGTTGCATAGCCAGGAGTGTGGCTTCTAGATCGAGAGAGGTATTACTACCACTCTATATGACTCTGGTGCACCCACAACTGGAATATTGTGCTCAGTTTTGGGCCCGCATTACAGAAAGGATATAGCCAGGTTAGAGTCAGTGCAGCGTAGGGCCACAAGGTTGGTCGGTTTGTTTATTTATTTAGAATTTTTGTATGCTGTCCCATCGCTTAAAGCCTCAGGACGGCTCACATAAAAAAGGTTGGTGGCCGGTTTGCAGGGGATGGGGTATGAAGTGAGACTGAGGGAACTGGATCTCTTCAGCCTGGAGAAGACTCAGAGGGGATATGTTGGCGACATACAGGTATGTGAGGGTGTGTCACACGGAGGTGGGTAGAGACCTCCCCTGCAGAGGAAGGCAGGACGTACTCCAACGGAGCAAAGCTCAGGGAGCCAAGGTTCCATTTGGATGCCAGGAAGCACTTCCTGACCATTAGGACCCTGAGGGTATGGAATGGGCTTCCACAAGAGGTCACTGAGGCCCCATCGGTGAGGGTGTTCAAAGATAGACTGGACATGCACATGGTGGGCATGTCATGAGCGGAGCTGGCTGGTGCCAGAGGTCAGACTAGATGGCCCGGGAGTCCCCTTCTGACTTGCTCTGTTTCTATGTTTCTTTAGCTTTGTTCCGTATGTTTTAGGACAGAGCCCTGGCACAGAAACCAAATCTGAAGCTCTGGTACAAGAAATGGAGCCACAGAGAGCTCATAAGACCCCGTTCAACTTTCCCCAACATGACACCCTCCAGAAGATTTAGGCTGCAAGTCTATGGACACAGCCTATGAGAGTGCAAGGACTGATGGGACTTGCAGTCCAAAAAATCTAAAGGGTGTTACACTGGCAGAGTAGCCCATCAAACACACACTCTTCTCAGGAAGCCCTCATGTTCCAGGGCAAGATTAGAATGACACAAAGAGAAGCTGCTTACCTGTGCGGTCAGAATCGCTTTCCCCAGTGCTGGAGGATGGACTGCCAACGGGCCCTGGCTTGTCTCCCTCGCGGGCTCCGGACTCCTTCTGCCGCGTCCTGGCAGCCTCAATTCCCTTTACTCGCCGGGCGTGGCGGTTTCCCTTGTAGTGCGCTTCAGCCTGGCTCTGTGCAAAGTAGGCACAAGGTAAGCGCTGGAGTGAACAGATTTGGAGGCCTCCTCCTGAGTACTTCTATTCTGTTCCCTGAGCCTACCCTCCTTTCATAAATACCGGCCAGGGCCTCTCATCCTCAGCAGTGGCAGCCACCCCAACCCCCAGCCAATCCTGTTAGGAGTCCTGATTAACTGTGTGCACTCACAGACTTTCCTGTGCAGGTTTAATTTTCATACTTGGCTGTTCCAGAACCCCAAGATTTTGTTAGGAAGCCAGATATGTATCCAGAGGTACTTCTACACCAGCCTTTTCTGTTGGATTGCCATCCTTGGCTCACTCCTTCTTAAGGGATTGTCACGTTGCATTCCAGAGTGCAAAGTGTAAACCTCCCATTTTTTGGTAGATCTGATTAGTGGCAAAAAAAAATTGCTGGTAAAACACAAATGTCCAGTCTGAACAAGGGAAGCAAAGCCTTATTAAGGCTTCCAAGGTTTGCCTTTCACACAAGTGTTTTCCATTTGCAGGCCCTGTCCATTTTATCACTTCCTGTTGATCACAGCTGGTAGATTAGCAATAAATAGCCTCTTAATTGCCCCTTAAATAGCCTCTCTTAATTGCCCTTTTTCTTCAGGAGAGGGAAAGTTCTAATTACTGATCTCCTCTCATTATTTCTTCCTTTTCATTTTTTTATAGTGACAAAGAACATTTCTTTACTAGACAGCATATTTTTCTGGACAGCACATTGTTTAAATTGGCAAGATAGCACAGCACAATCTTTCACTGAAGTATGGAAAGAAAAAAAAGAAGTAAAGAATAATTCATCATTCCCTCCCCACAAACAGAAATTGACATTGGGGCAATTAAGAGAGGCTAATGAAGAGGCAGTTAAGAAGACAATCATCACTCTAATCCTTCAGCTTTGGCAATCTCATGAGCTTTTTGTGTCATCCTGGACAATTTGGGTGGAACATTACAAGAAATACTGAGCTCAGTATCTGTCTCACCTCAGTATCTCATTTCATAGAATCAAAGCTGAAAGGGGCCAAGAAGACCACCAGGTCCAACTAACTCCCTGCCCAGTGCAGGATTCCAAGTTGAACCATCCCTCCCGGATGACTGTCTTTTTCCTCCTTCCTTCTTGTACAGTGTAAGAAAATGCACAACAATGATGTCCTCAACTTGTGCATTTCCCCATTGCCTGTCTCACATGACCAGCTGTTATTGGTAGCAGGGAAATGCATGGCCTGACTGCACAGGGGAGGGGTCCCTGTGGCCCTCCAGATGTTGCTGGACTTCCTGGTTCTTGCCCCCTCCAGCCAGAATGCCCAATGCTCAGGCAGCTGCAGTCCTACGTACTGGGATACTCCCAGGCTCCCCAACCCTGTGCTGAGCATCATTGGACAGGGAGGAAAAAGCAATGCAGAGAGGAAGCAGCTCCCTGGTTCCACCTATGCCTCCTTGAAAGTGAGGAGCCTAAATGTGTTTTGTCAGACACCTCCTGGATTTCAGCAGTCCTGACTTCCAGATATGGAGGGCTGCGGGCTTGCTTGAGTCTTAAATGCCACAGGCCTCACCTGATCCTGTGCCCAATCATTTCTCAGATCACAAATCCGGAAAGAGATTTGTTTGCTTTGCTTTCTCCTAGTCTGTGTACAGCAACCATAACAAGGCTCTCTCCAGATGTGCTGTAGTGCAAACACCATCAGGAGAAGGCTGGGCTGGGGAAGGCTGATTTGTATCTATGGAGGCTGAGGGGAAGCAGGGAGGGGGGCATGTGGCTTGGGGCAGAGCATGTATATTGCACGGATGCAGAACATCCACAGCCATCTCCAAAAACAGGGAAGATCTCTGCTTGTTACTTTGGAGAGCCTCTGGCAGTCAAGGCTAAACAGACCAGATATCTGAGTCAGTGCAAGGCAGCTCCACATGTTCATTTATGTTAATAGAAACATAGAAACAGAGCGAGTCAGAAGGGACCTCCCGGGCCATCTAGTCTGACCTCTGGCCCAGCCGGCTCCGCTCACGACATGCCCACCATGTGCCTGTCCAGCCTATCCTTGAACACCCGCAGCGATGGGGTCTCAACGACCTCTCGTGGAAGCCCATTCCACACCCTCGGGGTCCTGGCTGTCAGGAAGTGCTTCTTGGCATCCAAACGGAACCTTGGCTCCCTGAACTTTGCTCCGCTGGAGCGCGTTCTGCCTTCCTCTGCAGGGGAGGTCTCTACCCATCTCCGTGTGACATCCCCTCACATACCTGTATGTTGCCAATATATCCCCTCTGAGTCTCCTCTTCTCCAGGCTGAAGAGATCCAGTTCCCTCAGTCTCGCCTCATACCCGATCCCCTGCAAACCAGCCAGCAACCTTGTGGCCGTACGCTGCACTGACTCTAACCTGCCAAATCCTTTCTGTAATAAGGGGCCCAAAACTGAGCACAATACTCCAGTTGCGGGTGCACCAGAGTCGTATAGAGTGGTAGTAATACCTCTCTTGATCTAGAAGCCACACTTCTGACTATCTGCAGATTCACAATGCTGTGCACCTTCTTGGCCTCTGTGTTCTACCTGTGGCCTATTATGTGGGCTAATCTGATGCAGAAAAGCCTGTGGTGGGGTAAGAGGTTAGACAATGGCCAGCCTGGTCTTGGCATCCTATAATTTAGAGATTATCTCCAAATCCAATTCTACAAAGATGCCCCATGATCCAATTTCTTGTATGCATTCCTTTCTATTCACCCCAGCCTTGTTGATGCATTCAATACAGCTTAAATTAAGGAGTTGGGTGATGTGGACAACATCGCTGCATGCTGTCTTCAGCAATATTTGCACATCTCCTGTCCTTCAACACCCTTCCAAACCACCCACAGAGGCTGCAAAGCAATAGAAGAGAGCTGAGATAGCAATACCAGCTCCAAACTTGGCTATCTCCTCAAAAGACTCACCTCAGAATTGAAGCGGATCTGGCAGACGTTACAAGAGATGATGGGGCGCTTGGCCTTGGCTACAGGTACCCCAAAAGTGTGGTTGATCACCGCTTTCTGCACGGGGTCCATCTGCCAAGGAAAAAGGAAAGGGGGGAGGAAGAGAGAGGTGTTGTGGGCAGTGAGCATTTATCTATTTCGTTCCTGCTATTCCTCACCTTTAGTTCCTATGTAGCTGCATGCCAGATCACACAATCCTCTCATGAAGCTGCTGCAGCAGCTACAGGTTCCAATCCGCCCATGCTGCCATCCAGCCACACTGGCCCCTGGCCATGTGCATGCTACCACCTGCACCATCACAGGCTGAACTCAGTGCCTCTGACTTCGGGCAAGAGGGTCTTGTATCCTCTGCAAGCTCATGCTGAGAGCTAACCTGGAGCAAGGTCAGCCTACAGTGGTGGGGGCAGTGGGGCACACACGCCCCCCAGGCTGACGGGTGTGCCCATAAGCTAGGAGGAGAAAAGTCAGCCTGGGTGAACTGCCTCGCTGCTTCACAGTATGGCCCTGCCACGTGCATCGTAAGAAGATTCTGTACCTAACACCTTGGAAAGCCACGGTCAGCAGGGGAATGGAACATCAAACACAGGATACCCAGGGGACCAAGAGGCAGAAGGTGCTGCGGACCAGGACAGCCTGGCACAGTTGCGAAGGAGGGGCCCAAAAGAGAGATGTGCTGCAGCCTGGAAAGTTCCTAGTTCAAATTTCACCTTAGTGATAAACACTCTAGGCAAGCTGCTTTCGCATCTGCAACACCGGGGGGGGGGGGGGGGGGGGGGGGAGGCAGGAGGAGAAAAAAGAGTTACGTCTACTACTGAGCTAACAGGGAGGGATCTGCTAGGGCAGCAGGTCTTTCTCCCCCTATCCTTCCTTCTGCAGCCTTCCACACCTCCTGGAAACTTGTTCCGGGGGTCTCCCTCTGGAGCTAGAAGGTGTAGCAGGGCAGACATGGAATCGTCCCCCCACTTCTATTCATAGAATGACACGGTTAGATTCAGACCAGAGGAATCTTTTTAATCATGCCTGTCCTCCAAAGAGCTCGGAGCAACATAGATGGATTTATCCCACAAAATCCTCATGACAAGCATGTGAGGCAGAGAAGGCCCAAGACAACAGCTCCCCTCCCGCAGCTCCCAAGTGGGCGGAGCCTTTTCATGCTGCGTTCCAAAGCAATTCGCTACATCACACTGGCTTTCCTAACAGTCCCCTCACCTTTCTTCTAAGGATAATGTATGAGATATACTCCAAAGTGCTCTGCAAATGCTTCTTCCTTGGGCAGGCCACCCTGCCCTGCAATTCTCAACAGTTACCTCTTTCCCTATGAGATGCTTACTGGGGTAATGGTGGTGGGGGGGAGAGACCAGGGAAGATGGGACTAGGGGTTGGGAGTTAAGCAGTTTTACTCGACCTACGCATATTAATTCTGGAGACATGAATTTATTCAGCCTGGTATCCACAGGAGGCTCATTGGCCTTCCTCTGTATTTTATTGTGCAACTTCTGCCTGACACCAAGAGCAGCAGCAGCAAGTAATGGAGGCCTGTGCGATCTAATTTAGTGTTGTTTCTGGCAGCAATTTAGTGTTGTTTCTGAGTCTGAGGGCTGCCTGGTTCATTCAATTAGCCAGAAGGCCAAAAGATGCTGGGTGTTCCCTGAACTACTGCTTTGGCCTATCTATTTCACACGCTTGTATTCTGAGAGAACCAGCACTCATCATGCTGGCCTTCCCATCTGTGTCTCTTTGGAGGCCTTCTATCATCCCATAATTGTACATCATCTCGAATCACTCCATGTTGGGACAAGGACTTCCCTGTAGAATTGTCTGATCCATGATGTTGCCAGGAACATCCCTATCGAGAAGACTTTCTCATTTCTCACCTCAAATATATCCTATTAAAGTGGCTAGTCCCTATGGCATGCTTTTCCCAGACATTGCCAGCAAAGGCAAAGCTCTGATTGGCTGGCAGGCAGCACCACACAGAAACGCGATTGGGTTGGAACTGCTGCCTGAAGCCACTTCATTGGCTAGAAGAGTCTCCTTGAGAATCTTGGCAGTGTGACGCATAATTAATAAATTCTTGGCTCAAAGCTGGAGCAGGGCCCAGGCTTGGGTGGCTGTTTGGCCCCAGTGTCTGTGATTATGATATAAACTGTCAACAGGCAGCTGCTGGAAAGGTAGGAGCCAAGTCTAGTGCCAGTTGCTTTGTGGGCCAGAGTTTTAGCACACGGGAAGAAAGCAAGGACTGAGCACCATATGGGGACCCTCAAAGTATGATGGGGGAGTCTGGTACTTGCCCAAAGTTTTCTAAAGGGGAAATGTCATGATCTCAGTGGTGTGTGCCTCCATCCAAATTGGCACCATCTCAGGGTGTTTTTGCACAGGAGGTTCAAAGAGCTCTTACTTCATGGAGTTTGTAAAATGTGAAACTGTATTTTAGCTCCAGTGCTTATCTGCATTACAAATGCTCTTTCTCCACAGCCACTTAAGAATGATCATGTGGTCAGCATCATAAGCCTGCTTGAGTCTCATAGGCAAGTTAGGCCACACATGTGAAAACAGCCACCAACCCACCAAGGGAGAACCTCATTTTGGGTCTGTTGCTGTATTCTACTTCTTCAGACTTGGTTAAGACAAATGTTTTTTTTATTGAAGAGGTTTTTCATGATTGGCTTGGTCTGGACAGAAGTCTTGTGGTATCCTCAAAACAGTTTGAAATAAAAAAATAATAATTCTTTAACCACTGACTGAGCACTGGCTTGCCTTTTCTCCATTATGAGCTTCACACATTTATTTTTATTTATTTAGGACATTTATAGGCCGTCCATCACTGTCATCTCTGGACGGCTTGCATGGGCTTCCCTCCCACTTCCCCTCTCATAGAGAATCTGTCTAGCTGCACAACACCTAGAATTGTTAACTGCTTTTTTCCTCCCCCAGCAGAAGCAAAATTTGGCTACTCCAGAGTCTTACTTCAATGTTCTCTCTCCCAACACATCCACCTTTCTAACAAACTGGATCAAATTTATGGGGTGGTGAGTGTTAAGTAAGATGTAAGCACAGAAACCAGTTTTTAATTAGTGGAAAAAAGGTATAACAAACCAAGGTGTAATGTTCTCGGAAAAGGAAGCATTTATGAATTGAAAACAGAAAAAAATTATTCTGAAACTAAGTAGCAAAATAAAATTAAAAAATAGAAGTACTATTCTGGGTAAACCTTTAGAAGAGGCCTTCTTTTGGTCACGGTTTCTAAATCTTGCCACAGAAGCAAGTGCTGAAGAACTGGAAACATGGGAACTGTTTTGACATTCCTTGGTACCTGGCATTCCAGGAGATATCTGTTGTGAGCCGCCCCGAGGCTTCGGCGAATGGGGCGGCATTGAAATGTTTAAATAAATAAATAAAATATTCCAAGCAGGCTTCAGGTTTGGATTCTTCCTCCCCTGCTCCTGCAACTTCAGGGAAAGGTATCTTGTGAACAAGGAAATCCTGTGATTATTGGCATGCAGGGTTGCCTTGCCCCTGTGAGATGGACACTTTTATTAGAATTTCAGTTACTTTCTACTCAAAGGGAAGGGAATGAAAAGAGGAGCAGGCAAACCCAAGGCCCTCTGCTATTCTCAGTTCATGGACCAAATAACAGCTGAACAGCCACAAAAGGGCAGCTTTTATCCGCTTTTTTCCAATGTCCAACATTTCTAACATTTTTCTGTTTGAGGGTAACAACAATTTAAAAAGATAATTGGTACTGAGTAACTACAAATAGGTCCCCAGCTGAGACATGAAGCAGCCTCAGGAAGTATATATGCAGAAGAAATTGGCCACACATAAATGAGACCTGCCACTTTTTGAACTCTTTGAACTCTTCTATTTCTATTGGCAATCTCAGTGCTGAAAATATTGGCTCCTTTTGATTAAAGATACCTTAGATGCATTGCATCACATGCCCTGTTAGCTTTTTTTCCAGTTTCCATTACTTTGCTTAGTACTTTCCTGATGACAGTTGCACTGCTTTTCTGGCCTTGTGGAAAAGATCTCCACCAGCCAACTCCACACAGTGCTTATGAAATAATTATTTTATTCCTACATTATTTTAAATCTGAAGCATATTTGTTTCATTGTATTCCACTTCCCTAACCTTGTGCCCTTCAGATGTGCTGGACTACAATGTCAATCATTCCCAGCAAGCATGAATCCAACACATCCAGCAGGCACCAGTTTGGGTAAAGCTGGCTGAACACAAACATCAACAGGAAATTGTTAGGGTGTAAGGACCCCAGGGCCTGGTCCAGCCAAGGCTCCTCACTTCTGATTCAAAGTCGCACAAAAAGAAATGAAGCTGTGTCAAAGATGATATACAGTTTATAGAATACGAAGATGAAATATGAATGCAGCACATAAACAAGGAAAAGAAAGCTTACACTCCACTTTGGTTTCCTAAATAGGCCATGGGATGCTGTGTGGGCCTCCAAAGTTGCCTGGGTGGGCAATAGATTAATTCCTCCCCCAGGCTGAGAACCAAAGACAAGGCCTCTTGTCATGAATTTTATAAATGTCTGTTCTCTCACTGCTTCAAAAGCTGTCAATATGCACAGGCTTTAACCTCCTTTTTCCTGGGACAAGTGGGAGAAGCACGGGGAGGCAAAGCTTCTTCAGTAAAGGAAACCCTTTTGGTTCTTACAGCCAAGCAGCTCTTATTTAAGGAATGCAGTTAAATTCTATTTCTGGTGTTGCTCCTTGCAAGCTGAAGATCATAAGGCCTTGGCGTGGCTCTGACAAACTATTCTGTTTTTTTGGTGACAAGGAACATTTACTGTACTACCCGATAAACCTTAATCACCTGCTTGCTATTCTTCCAGTAGAGCTCATACAATGCAAGGGGTATTATTCAAGAAGATCCAGATTAAGTGATTAAACAACTCTCAAGTAAATTCTGGCATGACCAAGCCTGAGGTGGCCTGGCCATGTCATCATTCTGCCAAGCTGTAAAGGAGAACTGAAACATCTATTAGTCAAAGATGCATAGTAAGCTGGTCAGCTGTCGTCGCCTAAGAAGAAGCAAATTCATACAGTCATGT